AGCATCTTCCTAGAATTGGCGCCATTTCCGTGAAGGGCTTTTGCATCCCTTATTTGGTAATAACCAATGCAAAAAGAATTTTTTTTCAAAAGGTTTTTTTTTGTTCCAATTTATTACATTTTTAATTTTGCACAGAATACTCTGCAAAATATACATATTTAACAACAACTAGCATAAATCAACAACGAACACAAATACATTCACGAAACTCAAATGCCACAAAACAAATTAAACAAAAAAGTAAACATTTGCATCCACCACTATTTGTACATTTAAACAACTATCAACATTTACAAACTAAGTTTTAACACCACAACTAAGAGTCAAACAACTACACTCTTGTAACATACAACTAATACTATACAATACAACACAAAACTTACACTAATTCATCGAGAAAATCCCCTGCCCAAAACACTCTAACCTCTTCTAATTCGGCTCTAATATAAAGTGAATTGGACTGAAAAACCTGCAATACAAAAACAAGATACAACATAAAGTTTAATAATCTATGAAAATGATGATAAATACTTCATTACTTTCAAAACACACTAGAATAAACTTACATCGAATAACAGTAAAGAATATTGTGCACACATAGTGACGATGAGCCATAAAAATCGCATGGTATACTAGCCACACTCAACGCCCCCTACTTGTTGGGGTACTCCGGGAACATCAACCCAATCCAGTCGAGCCTTAAGCCGAGGCATGTGTCGTTCCTGAAGTAACGGCCAAGACCTTTAATATATGTAAAAAAATATTAATTACAAATTAATATCTTAACAAATAAAGAATTTCATTAGTATCTTAACAAATAAAGAATTTCATTAATAACCGTCAAACCAATAGTATTAAAAAGTTCCCTCGCTTGAGCGGGGGTTTTGTTCACTAATGCACCACCGCTAGCGGCATCAACAATGCCCCTCTCGATAGGCAAAAGTCCATAAAAAATATTGAATGAACAACTGTTCGGTTATTTGATGTTGAGGACATCAACAAACAAGCTTACTAAAATGCTCCCAATATTAGAAAAGTTTAACCTCACAAATCTCTTACTACCTGTTTCACTTTCGCTTTCTGCACCAATTGCTTTACCGCTTAATTGCATAAACACAAGCTGCAAAAGTTGAAACAATGCCGTATCAGTGTTTCTTTAGAACACTTTAAAGAATGGAAACAAAATGCTATTTAAGTTTGAACTTTTCATTCAATTTTATACAAAGAGAAGCACCTAGTTTCTTAAATAAGGAAAAAAAAATCAGATTCTTTGTGAAAAATTAAGCTCAAAATTCAAACTCCAGAAATAAATATATCACCACTTTTAACATTTTCAGAACAAGTCACAAAACATCCAAATTAGTTCCTATGCTTGTATTTGAACTAATAGAGTTCAAATTTCAGTAATAAGGCATCTCAGGAACATAAAAATAGGCATAAAAAGGGGGGAAACATTGCATATTTTTTTGAAAAACAGCACCTTCAAATCAGTTTTCTAGAAAAAACTGCACAAATCAGGCCCCGGAAATCATGTATTACATCTAAAAATTGTCCTTAAGATAGATATAACAATAACAGTGCATATTTCTAGCAAAGAAGGATTATAAGAGGCAAAAACAGTATGCAAAAAGGGCTAATTCTACAACCAAAGAGAACTAGAACAGCTTTCATATAAAAAACAAATCAGAACACACACAGATACTTCATCATCAATCCAATTACAATAAAAGGCGTTAATCTTGAAGAAACATAAAGTACAAAAATCATTCTTTCAACCATGGAATTCTCGCCTTAAACATTTAGCACACAAACCAATTCTTAAGGATCGTTAATCATAAACGATAAGCAGGAAAGCACAAAAACATTGAACAAAAACAAAGCTGCTATTTTCTAGGGTTAGGGGCATAAATTCAGGGATAAAGAACCAGCCTATCTTTCGATTTAATAAATAGGGACAAGCGAAATACACAGAGCTTACACATAAACCCTAATCTACGAGGAAACCTTGCAAGATTAAAATATTTGAAAGAAAACGAAGGATTCAGAGGAATTGATGCGATCGATTGGATACAAAAACAAGAAAAGCATAGGATTATAGATCTACCTCCCAGAAAAGGACTACTTGAGGCAAATGCAAGAGCGAGGAGGTACGGCGACGGCGAGCGAGGAACGGGGAAGCTTGGAGCGAGGGCGAATGTGGAACGGTGACGATGAGCGAGGCAACAGCGAAGACACAGCGTCTTGAAAAACAACGAAGGGTTTGGGGAGGATAAGAATTTAGAGGATGAATATAAGAGACCGTTTTGCATCCGTTATTCCTATAACAGATTCAAAAGGTTTAGGCTTTTGCATAGGTTATTCCTAATAACCGATGCAAATATTCTTTTGCATCGGTTTTAGGAATAACCGATGCAAATGCAAAGCGATACACGAAATTGTTTTATTTTTACATCGTTTGTTTTGCTTAGGGATGCAAATGTAGCGATTTATTTGGTCGTTTTTGTAGTAGTGCCAGGTACTTTATCTCATGTACTTTCTTCAAACATTAATTCACCTATGCATATCATTGTTGGTAATGGTTCTAAAGTAAGCACTACTGGTTATGGTCAGGGTACCCTTCCCACTTCCCCTCCCCTCACCCTAAATAATGTACTTGTTTCCCCACATATCATACATAACCTCATCTCTGTCCGTCAATTTACTCGTGATAATAATTGCACTCTTGAATTTGATTCATGTGGTTTCTCTGTTAAGGACAACCTGACGGGAGCCGTGATTCATCGATCCAATAGTGACGGACCTCTCTACCCCATCTCTCAAGCCACCTCCAGCGCTCAGCTTCATCTAGCACAAGTTGATCTTCCCACTTGGCATCGCCGTCTTGGACACCCCAGCCCAGCTGTTCTCCATGGAGTGTCACGTTCTTTAGATAGATTAGCTAAATCTAGATTAGATCTTTTATGTCATGCATGTCAACTAGGCAAACATGTTCGCCTACCTTTTCCGTCTTCAAGTCATATTACTACTTTTCCCTTTCAGTTAATGCATACAGACTTATGGCAATCTCCTGTTCCTAGTGTAACTGGTTTTAAATTTTATATGTTTCTCCTTGATGATTTCTCCCATTACTTATGGATCTTTCCCCTTCGTCATAAATCTGATGCCTATTCTCATCTTGTAAAATTTCATGCTCTTGTTAAGAACCAATTTAACACCACCATAAAATCTGTTCAATGTGATAATGACACCGAATATAGAAACACCCCTCTTGCCACATTCTTCGAATCCCTAGGTATCCTCTTCCGCTTCTCTTGCCCCTACACTAGCCAACAAAATGGGCGTGCTGAACGAACCATTCGCACCTTAAATAACACAGTTCGCACCCTACTCTTCCAGGCTAATCTCCCCCCTCATTTTTGGGTCGAAGCATTACATATGGCTACCCACCTCTTCAATATCCTTCCCACCACCACTCTAAACAACTGCACCCCCCATGAAGCCCTCCATCGCACTCCCCCGTCTGGTTATCTTCGCGTCTTCGGTTGCCTTTGCTATCCTAATCTCTCTGCCACTGCCCCCCACAAGCTAGCCCCTCGTTCCACCCGGTGTATCTTCCTTGGCTATCTGGAGTCTCAACGCGGCTACCGGTGCTTGGATCTCACCACACATAAGATCATCGTTTCTC